CCAAAAAAACAACTAAGGCAAAGCTACGCAAAATATCCTCCCTGTTGAGGTAAGTGCAGTCGTGTCGATACTTCCATCCATTTTCTACACTGTTCCGTGTTAAAAATAATGTGTGTTGTTGAAAAATATGTATTGAGATTTTAAAATGACTTTCAGGTGAGTAAACAGAGGTCCTTTGTGGTCTGGACTGTCTGTGGGGAACAAAGGGATGAGATTGCATCTGATTATTTAATTGATATCTGAGACTAGCGCGCAGCAGCTCGGTAGATTACGAGCATTGTAAGGACAAACGGCTTGGCGATAACCTCACATTTGGTCTGATGGGAGATAGAAACAAAACAAAAGGAGCCTTGATCAGCTCAAGATACCTCCCCTCATAACCCTCCGAGGCACAAGAGGGGAATACTTGTGGGTGGGAACAAACTTTTTAGATGAAAACAGCCCTTGTGGAAGTGAATTCCAATAAATCAAAAAGCGCCTTTGCCTTGTGCGCGCAAGATCAGGTGATCTGGCATTGTTAATAAAAATCAATTTGTTTTGACTCCTGCAAAACAACTTGCGCAGGGATTCTTGTGTTTCCAGAAGCAGAAATGTAATTACTGCTCTTGCCCTCACCTTCAAAGTAAGCGTCAATAACACGCGCATGCTGGTGTCAAAAGTACAAGGTCTCTCAATGCGCATCTCACACTCTCTCACTCAAATTATCCCTCTCCTTTGCACTTTGTTTGCAATCAAAAAAAGCAACAAGCAAACCCCCGTGTGTTGTTTTCAGGCTTCTGTTTGTTTGGATCTGAATATACGTGAGCGCATGCATTTTGTGTGCCCAGTGGGTGTGCACTCAAACACATAGCTGGCGGATGATTGCTTGTGACGGCCATATTGATTTCTGTCAAAAGTAAAGCTTGCAAGGCTGCTCCGAGACAGCAGGTGGAGATTTCTGATAATGACCGAGTCATTCCACGGGAGACACCTGCGGAGTGAAGCTCTTAAGGCCACACACACACAAACAAACATGCTTACTTGAGCACAGCATGGGGCTATATACAGATTTCTTTACATGAAATGACTCTTTGCTTCTTCTTACTAACAATGTTGGAAGGATCTATGGGCTCTGGCTAATCAGCAGCCATGAGCCAATGCCATAAGATGTAAACATTAGCTTACACAGCTAACTAGTTTACAAGTTGACCGGTAGGCCATTGCAAATTTTGTAGACTATTCCTTTTGTGGTTTTGAAAGAAATGGAATCAATGCTGCTTAAAATCGTATGTGAATTAGGAACGTTTTGCCTCAGCAAATTTGAATCCATTATGACTCAAAATTGTGTTTGGCTGGCTTGCTAAATGGCACTTTTATCTGTTAACAAAAATCGCTGGTTAAAAAAAAAAAAAAGTGCTATGAACGTCACGATGCTGATTTTGCTCAGCCATGCATCAAGCTTTTGCGGTTTAAAGATCAGATGGCATAACAAAGGGGTGCCCAACCTTTTTTGACCGAAGATCCACTTTTCAAGTAGCCAATTAAACTCTCGAGATTAAACAGTCCAGTGTCAACATCGCAAACCCACAAACCTTTTCCAGCCAGCAGTAACTAACCGCACAACACTTTTCCTGTTGTCAAAATAATCGCTAGACATCACATTGCTTTCACTGATCCTCTGTCATTAGACCACACGCGCGCACGCACGCGCACACACACACACACACACACACACGCACACACACACACGCACACACACACACACACACACACACACACACACACACGGACACGGCAATCTGTGCCTAACATGAACAAAACAGAAAACAAACCAGAGTTTGAGTTTGAAAAAAAATAAAAAAATAAATCACTGCCAACCTTAGTGGGAGACCTGACAATGGCAGGTGGTGAGGCCGGGACTAACTTTTGCAGCGTAATAAAGCTATTTCTGCAGGAACAAATCCTACCGTAACTGCCATGTCCCATTTTAAAATGTCGCTCCAGATTCCTTTTCTTTGCCAATGCCATCAGTGCATTGCAGATCAAACCAACAAGCTTTGAAAGGGAATAAACAAACAAAAAAAAAAGCACCTTCGCGACTGATCGCTAGCTGCATGCAACTGCTGACCAATCTCAATTTCCTGTCATGAAGAACATGCGCTACTGGGGAAAAGGTGACTTCCTTTTTTCTTTCCAAAAGATAACTTTCTTGTGAATGTCACGTGAGACTAATTGGTCTGACAGGCTGTACTGTACAGTAATATCAAATACATATTGCAAATAATGTCCACACATGCCCAAAAAAATATGTGTTTACTCCTCATGGTGAACTTTGGATCAGATTGGCTGCTTGGGTGTTCATAACAATTTCTGCTATGAATATGTTACAATCTGCTGGAACACCATCTGACAAAAAAAAAAAAATAACAACGTCTGTTGCTAAATGTGTGATAACCTAAAATTGCGTAATCGGTGTAATCAATTATTTGGTGCAAGTACTTTTCAAGGTCAAAATATCATCAGAGTTTTGCTCCTTCAGCCAACAGTTCGGTGTGCCACTATTTGAACCCATTTACCATGTGGTCACTCTGTCTTTACATGCTGACCAGAAGTTTACGTGGCACCATACTCCGAACGCAGAAGAGCTGTGTGCATACTATAATGTCCATGATGTGGCTTTGTGTCGACCAGTGTACTATGATGATTTCTGAAAAGTCATCTTGTTCAAATATTTTCCAAAACATTTCTCCAAACAGCATCACTTACATATTTTATGTTTAAACAAAACAAAACAAAACAAAAACGCTGACCGTGCAAATATATAAAGGATGTTTTATGTTCGTGTTGGCTAAATTGACAGTCATTGCTTTAAGAAGGAAACTGCTTTTCTTTAAAATGATGTCAAACTGTGAGGCCAAAATTGGAAATCTTCCCCGTTGTGCAGTGCAAACTGCATGCTGTGCAAGAATGGAAAAATTCACAGGGGTTTAGTCAACAGTCAATTGTCTTTGGTAAGAACCCGTCTCGTCACTGTGGCGCTGCTTCCTGCCCACACCCGCACTTTTCCTCTCCACTGCTCCGGTGGAGGTGGTGGTCAGGTGTCCTCCCCTCCCCAGAGGGCCCTCTCCCTTGTTCGCCCCCTCTTATCATCTGCCACATGAAAGGATTTCATTACAAGCTGTGACACCAGTCCCACCCTTAGCCAACCTGTTCATGGAATCGCATCTCAATGGCATCACACTGTGTTCCGTAAAAGAAGCAACATCATGCGCTATACCCGCCCATGTCTGCCTTTCCTGTCTTATCCAGTCTTGTCCTGTCCTATCCTATTGTATTGTTTCTCATTCATCAACTGCATGTTGTTTCATCGCTATTTTCCTTTCTTATCCTATGATATCCCTTTTTTCCCCTTCATTTTTCTTTTACTTCCTCTTCCTTCTTCCATCTTCCTTCGCTCAGCAAAAGTGGCCTTTTCTTCCCTATCCTTTCACTTGTTCACATCTTGCTTTCATCCCCCCTGTGTTCTTCGCCTCTCTATTTCAGCCCCACATGCCCAACCGACGGCCCTCAATAAAATTCTCTTTTATTTATAGCTTGTTTGCTTTTATAAGGCATCTGTGTAGACCAAAGTCGCTGGTGCTGTTTGATGTGCACGTCTCTCATCTGTGATTAGGAAGTGAATCTTTTCAAAAAGGGGACAGGTTGTTAAAGGAAACGACTGGAGTGGAGCCTCCTTAGTGCAGATTATCCCGCACATGTTTTATTTGGCTTCTTTCCATCGGCAGCGCATAATTCATGGCCAAGGTCCGATCTGATGGGCCGAGCCAAGCGCTACTACCTACAACACAGCGTCCGGCCTGTTTTAACAATCGCAGCATCCAGAACCTGTTAGTGGTAGAGTCCAGAAGCTGCAGCCTGGGGCATAATTAACAGGAGAGGGGTCTTACTCATTCCGCTGGCCGCCCTCATTTAGCCACTTGATTTATTTACTAAACAGCCACCGGCTCCTCTAAGCTCATGTTCTGTGCACTGCTCCCACCACTGTTAAAGAAACAGCCTTTTCCATGTGCGTCATAAATAACTCGATGGCAGACTTTAGTGGGACCACCGAGCACAGGCGGAGATGAATCTGATGTTAATGGTGGATGGGGAGCTCTCATGCTCTGCATTTATCACAGCTAATACGAAGACAATGCTATGCTGTAGGAGTGATGGCTTTTTAAGTGCATCGCCTCCTTGTGCTCGATTGTTTGGCACATATCACTCATCCCGTGTCTACAGACTGCCAATTAGAAGTGTATACGCAGTCCAACCTAGATGCTCTCACTCCACGGGCCCACCGCAGTGTGCAGCTCTGTGTGTAATGCTGGTGGTGAGGTGGAGGGTTCACAAGCAGGCTGAAGGCAAAAGATGTTTACCGCAGCAAGTGCCGACTTTTCCATCTCTTGCAGACGTTTGCCTCTCACTTTTTTTTAGATAGGGGCTGCTGGAGGTTTATGAATGAATTCTGACAGAAGCACATATAAACTACAGAGGTGGTAAATTCGTCCATCATTTGTCATTCGCCAGCGGCTCGCCAGTTGTCAGTCCGTCATTATTTCAGGCTAGCCCAGTCCCTCACTCCGTCATCATTAGTCTAACCGTGCTTCCGTCATTGCCGAATTAGAGTTTATTGCCACTGTTTTAGGACTGTGAGTAATAAAACAGTTTTTAGGACAGTCAGTTATTAAAAAAAAAAATCTATTCCGTCACTCATAGCTGCCAGAGGCGGTGCCTTACAGCACGGAATAGTCCCGTTGCGTGTAGCTCAAGAATGCATACCAACATACATCATCAGTGACCCCCCCGTGTGACCCAGGGCATGTGTAAGAGAACTCATAGAACCGTATTGTTAAGCTTCGCTTAAGACAAGCGCCGGACCCACAGGCAGACACGATGAACTCAGTACTGGGTTTATTGACAGGTCAAGAATACAGGAACCAAAGGCAGTCAGAGAAACCAAACCAAGGTGCATAGGAAAGCTGAGGCCAACAGCTGGGCAGCAGTGAGTATGGCAGGGAAGATAATAGCTGACAAACTGGTAATGGCAGGCCCTTCGGACTGGCCTTGATGCTGCAAAGGAGAGTGCCTGATGAGGTGAAGACTGGCAGGTGTGTAGGCGAGACAGGTGCAATGATTAGGGAGACGCCCAGCCCGACACTGAATTAAGGGAAAGGCAACAATAAACAACAGAGGGAGGGGCCACACAGCCGAACAGTGACGACAGACACAATGGATTCTAACACGTATATGTAACTTGTTTTTTTATTGACCGTCCTAAAATAGCAGTGACCAAGTATAATTTACCGATGGCGGAATGATGACCCACAATTTGCAGACTGCGCCGGCCTGAAATAATGACGGATGGCTGATGATATGGCAGGCCAGCCGCTGGCGAATGATGGATGGAGTTACCCACCACTGCTAAATTACAAACAGGTAAATCAGGCTCCCTGTCCTTATCCAACATATGATAAACTTTTACAATTTTGTAAAAAAAAAACAAAAAAAAAACCCACACAAAGAAGCGGATTTAAAAGGAAAAAAGGCAGCTCACACTGTCAAGGTGCTTTGAAGAGCCGCAGAATAATGCAACCTCAGATTTATGTCCTCATAAAGCTAGGGAGGTGATTTTGATGGAGGACTTTATAGATCGTAGGTGGACCCCTCCCACTGGGTGATATTCCTTTTCATCTTTGTTCTAAATACTTGAGCAAGAGTAGGCAAACATAAATCATATCAGATTAATTGTAGCATCACCCACCCTGCGGGAGAATTGTTTTCCTGTGATTATCATGTCTCTCAAACACACAGCGACGTAAAGCTTTCAGACATGAATACTGCCGTTAGGTGGTCATAGTACAAGTGTGATTGGTCCCTTACAGTCCAATGAATCTATAGTTACTGTTGCAAAGAAGTCCCAAAAAAAAAGAAATGCAGGAGTGTGTATTGTTGTGGACAGGTAATGAAAGATAATACCGCATGGGTGGAGTCGTCAAGAAGACACTAACTTTGATTCATCCCTGTGTTGCCTTTTTAATTTTCTTTTTTTAACTCCACCTGTTCTGACCTGATAAGAGCCCTAGCAGAGGATCAAGAGATGTGAGATTCACATTTAGTGTAAAATTGACCAAATTCAGTGTTACTCGAAACCCGCTCAACATTATGAGAAACGGACAGACGGGTACTGTTGATAGATAGATAGATAAAAATCTGTCGGTACCTTTGTGAAGCATTCATTGCTTGCTACAGTGAAGTTATATTATGTCCCAGACGGTGCAAACAAAAGCATTCCGTGTCCACAGACAGACTAGAAATGATTGCATATTTGACTGGAGGGCATATGGCAGGTCAGCGGACTACAAAACCATCATGCTATACACTGTATCCACCCCTCCGCCCCCCTTTTTTTTTAGTCATCAAAACCCTTTGACAAAATTCAAAGTGATGGCCCAAACAGTAGTAAAAAAGAGAGCCTCGATGGAGGAGAACTGAGCCTGAGACATGCGAGCCTGCATGGGTAAGGAGACCTCCCTCTGGGCCTGGCAGACCAATCCAGCCTATTGATTTTCTGTCCTTTCCTTCAATATCTGGAATGTGCCATCGTGAATAGATTATGACAAACGTGCCCGCCAGAGACCGTCGATCCTTTAATTGAAGATGATAGAGGACAGCCGAGGATGAAGCGTGTCCGTGCCTCCCAAAGTTACCTCCTTCCACGTCTATAAACCACAATGACCTCTCATGGAACCAAGCTTTTGTGGCCAACCAATCTCTACTCGACTAAACTTTCACCGCACCGCTGAACACAATGGAGTCGGTGCTTTACAATAACAACCTCCTGCCAAAAGCACAAAAACAAGGCACGAGAAAAAGCTCTGTGCTCTATTTTGATGAAAGTAACAAGCACAGCTTGTTGTAAATAGGCTTTCTGCGGCCCGAGGCAGCTTTTCTCCCTGGGGGATGTGCTTTCTGCATCTCTCCCAGGGTTGCTGTCGCCAAAGGGGAAGAAGGGAAGCACAAACAAGAAGTTGCCTCAGCTCTTTTGGCAAAAGGAAATCATCTCTGATTAGGTATACTGTCTGAGATGTTGCTCCCTTCCAGATTAGGAATAAAATGTTGGGATGACAATACAGGATTGTGTTTGGACTTGCCTTGGTTATCTGTGTCAGGATTACAGTCCAGGTGCACATGGAGAAACACTGGCTGCCGTGGGTGTCTGGCTATACCGTCGAAAGATTGTTAGCGCTCTGTCTGTCTGCAAACACTTCCGCCTGATAACTCGGATGTGTGCTTATTCAAATGAGTTCTGCTGCGGGCACCCTCTTGCAAATCAGGCGCCATCCGCGCAAGCGTCGTCACACAAATTAGAAACGGATGTTCTGGGCAGAGCGGTCTGTGGACATCGGCCTCGTAGTGCCACCTTTGACATGAGTGTCTTGCTTGACCCCCCCCGCCCCCACCCCCACAGGAAGCCAAGCCACCACCTCTCTCACCTCTTAAAAGGGAACGCAAAAGATGACTGTCTCCAACCTGCAGCCTACATTAGCGATTTTTTTTTTCAATAAATCTCCTCAAACCTCTCTTCAGTTACCTTTCTCCCCAATGCCTTTAAGCCCCTCTGATCCTTTCCAATAATAATGGCATTGCCAGCCAATCTCTCTGAAAATGGGTTCAGCGCATACCTAATCTCATTTAATTACTTAGACACACAGGGCTCAGGACACACTCCTCAGGCAGCGCCCCCACTCCCTGTAAGCATGCCCTTTTTGCACCCCATCCACCTTTCTTCATGAATTATGGATCCTCGGCTGCAAGGCGAGGGGTGATCATTCCGCCTGCTCTGTCATAATGCTGAGGGAGAGCCTGGTCTCTGTGTAAATATGGTGCCTGTCTGGGCTTGAGGTGCCCTATTGTGTGTGGTATTAAAAGCTCACCGCTCTCCCCTCTCACTCCCTACGCCGCAGCAGGGGGGTTTGAGGCGTAATCACACAGAACTTCCAGCACTCTGCTCGAGTGGAGGCGGCCTCGCACTGACCGGCATTACGGCTGGCAGTCGTCCTACCTGAGAGGAGGGGAGAAATGAAACGGAGATGGAAACTGAAAGTTGGGGAAATGGGCTGAATCAGCTCCGGTTTTCTCTCGATTTGTCAGCACAAATGGTTGCTTTATAGAAGAAAAAAACCATCACTGTGATAGGAAGTTTTCTTGACCTGGTGATGGTGGGGAAAGCGTTTGAATGGAGGCAATTTGGTGTTTATCTGGGTGAGCTCCCCACACAGGTATCATGCTTTACTCCTTATGTGACCAACAAATGTTATCCCACATCTTTACAGGTCCAACATTTACAGAAAGAAATCCGTCATCGTACCTTCAGATAGACTGTCAGGCCAAAATACTGGTTTTCTTACAAGAAGATGCTTTCATTATCATCTATCAAGAAAAAAACATACACATGCAGTTTCTACAGATCCATTTTTATATTTCTGTACAGCAGTGGTTCTCAACTGTTATAACACTGGCACCTACATCTTTCAATTTTTGCAAAGTCTTGAGCCATTTTATCAACGCTAAGAACAATAAAGCAATTGATGTTTTTGTTGAAGAATAGACTTTGAAAATACAGGTTACGTGTGCACCATCTTACCTTTTTAAACGCAGTTTCAAATGACTTTGACATACTGCCAGAAGCGTATTGCTAGCTATGACGTCCGTTAGCAAACACTGAGCTGCACTGTAATTGCTTACAGACTAGCTTGTGGCGAGAGAACAAGTTACGAACATTTCCTAATGTTTACCCAATATTGTATGTTCTGTGTGGGAACTGGGTGCATGCCAGAACTTTTTTGAAAAAAAAATGTGAATACAAATATCGGTAATTCTCCTTATTAGCTGTGTGTGACTTATCCAAAATGGGACGCAGCACACTTTGGGTTCTGACCCATCAGTTGAGAATTCCGGCTGTACTGTGTCAGTACTGCGCTTGGAGTTGTTTTAGCATTAACCACATATACATTGTTAATCATTTTTCCATATAGAAAAAGTGTAAATTGATCCATTTTTTCCCCATGGTCAAACTGTTGCCATCACAGGTAATATTTGAACAAATATTTCAACATCGTTGACGTTCTCAAATAGGTTGCCAGTTGTAACACTAATACATTAAAAGGATACTATAAAACCTGCAAACGTTCTCGACTCTATTCTCATCCCTGTTGCTCCTAGCAGTCAAGTTAGTCAACCCCCTCCCTCAATGTTGCACTATGTTTAACTGGCATGACACTGCTACTCTTAATACTGGACATGCTAGCCGAATTTAAGAGGTATGCTGAGGTCTCCAGGGATTCACCGAAATCTTGTGGGAGTACAACATGATAATAGTCTTTGACTTTCGGATTCATGCTACCACTAAAATTCGAATTTGTTTGTCCGTTTTTATCCATCTGTTAGTCTGCAGGCTACTTCCGTGTTCATGTGGGATGACCAGTAGGTATTAGACATTGGTCTATCCAATGATTGCTTTTTAAGATGGTAAAAAGAAACTACCAGCTGGATATCAGGATAACTAATGAGAAATTTAAAGAGCTGGGGCCCCATCAAGTTCAAAGACTTTCTGGAACCTTCTAAAGAGAATTCGATGAATGCGCTTGTCAATGTTACAGTAAACCTCTCTGCAGACACCCTCGGATTTTTGTGGTCTGTCTCTATCAGCCTAAGATGTCCTCCAAACGCCTTGCGAACTTTTAAGCCGCCATATTAGTGGAGGAGTTGCTATGGTTGGACACCAGCTGGTAGCCGTCCGGCTTGACAGTGAACAGCAGCTTGACAGAAGATTGCAGTCGAAGTCCCACGGGCAGATGAGGCTTCTTGTGGGGTTGACTTGACAGGGTGGTTGACTTCTAAAGAGGAAGCAGAGAAAGGTTTGGATCACAAATGACAGTGATGGAAGGTAATAGCCAGCTAGCTGCTCAATGTAGGTCCAGTCAGTGCTCAACTCATATAAACTGTAGAACTCACTTGGAAAAAAAAAGATGTATTTTCTAGAGAAGTAAAAATATACATTGAAGACACCGAAACTTGATTGCATATATGTGCACATCTTCTTATCAATGGGAATGAAGCTGTATTCAGGATAAACCAATCACATTTAAACACATTTGTCACACACTGACGCAAAAGCCCATCAAAAGCAGCTAACCTCATATCATTCGCAAGTGGAGATCTTGGATTTCCCTTTACCTGTACTTTGCACGTGTCAATCTCCTGCATCTATTTGCCATGTAGACTGTTCGGCTCTCCATGTCCTCGATATAAAGAGAATGAGGGGAGACGGATTGATTTGCCAAGAGTCAGCTGCATTCACTCCCATTACGCCCACTTCTACTTGCACTAGTCAAGGCAAGTATCAAACGAAAGAAAACTCCACTCATGCACACAGTTAGACTGCAATTTGCAGTTAAACTTGTGCTGGGCACGAAAATTAGGGGCATTAGTGTACAGCACGAAACCTTTTGATTTCTGCCAGAAAGCAAAAAAAAAAAAAAAAGACGATAGAATATTTCATCTTTTGTTGGGTTTAATTTGAAACACTTTAAATTTGTTAATGCTGAGAACAGCCACATCACTGGATATGAGAGTGGGCACGTTTGCACCCACATGATCTGAGTTTCTTTTTTTTTCAATTGCGTTGCACAGTTTATAAGTCACAAATTGTGGAAAACCCAATTCCCCTTTAAACAAAAAACAAAAACAATTGATGATGTACAAAGTACATTGAATTTTAATTCCATGAAAAAGATTTTTCTAACAAATCATTTAAAATGCCTTTCCACAATAAGTGGACAAAGTTATGAACGTAACAGTACAATGACAATGAGGGGGAAGCGAAATAAAGTAGAAGGCCACCCTAAAGACTTTATAATTGGCAATGTCACAGTTCTCCCCTTGCCCGAGGAGGAGAAACGAAAGATGATGTCTGTGTCAACTCTGAGATGGTTCTATGCTGTCTGTCAGGGCCCTGAGCACATTTCCCTGAGCTTGATATAGACGGGACTTGTCTCGCTGCCCTCAGCGGCAGACAGACGTCTCATCTTTATCTCTCCAGATTTCTACCTAATCTGTTTCTCTCCCCTTGGCCTCTCTTCATGAATCTGCCATAAATCATTTTTGGATTCAGGCCCCCGTTTGCACGCACACTTTCATAAAGGGAGAGGAGCGGGCATCAGATATCCAGACTAAATAGCGATCAAATTACACAGGATATGAAATGCTGTAGTTTGGAATCCATTATCCTACTCAATATGAGCCTTCTCACTGTAATATGTCAACTCTGGCCCCGAAGCGACAAAAAGCACAGATGGTAATGTCTATGTGCAATATACATATGACTGAGCAAATAATTACGGCTGACGGTTGAGGGAAGAGCATTTAAGCTAAGTGCACACAACTTGTTCAAAATAAGATCCAAAAACACGATAGAGCAGGTGGAGACCTTGAAAATGAGTTTGTGGTTGTTTTCAAGCCACCCGGACCAGCTGCTCGTAGCCATAAACAGACTGCAGTTCATGCTGAGCTTTGCAGTTACATTGATTTCTGCAGGTTAATTACAATGTGTTTTTGTTGTTAGGTTTTTTTTTTCTGGCTATTTCCCCCATTTTACAGTGTGCATGAAAAGTACTAATTGCAGTCAATAACAAACTAATGGTAGTAGTAAATGGACTATACCTGTATCTGCCTCCATCTGTTAAAACCTCTCTCTCTCTCTCTCTCTCTCTCTCTCTCTCTCTCTTTTTAAAGGGCTCTTCATTCAGACAAGTATTATTGAAAAATTCAATCGCCATGGCAACAGCAGACTCATTACATTGAATCCACTAATCGCTAACTACCTCCGCAATTGTCTGTAATTGCTTTGGGGACACAGTTAACCACGTGGTTGGTATGCAGAGCAGGGCTGTGCCTCTTGGTGTGGGACAAAGGCCAGAAATGAAAGATGGTGGTGCACTGTGGTAACCGTGCCTACAAACTCCCTCCCCACCTCTCCCCTCTCACAACAATTGTGCACGCTCCATAATAATTATCGTCTGTCTAAATCTCCAAGTGCAATATTAATTAATGGGCATGGTTGCTATGGAGATTGATCACCAAATTATCTGTCAGCAGTATTTAGTCAAATGGGCCTTAATGTTTGTTTGTTAATGGCATTGTAAACAACATTGCATGAAGTATTTTGGTTACTTCCTCAGTAGCTCCTGGGATGCGACGACATAGCGACGAAATAGGCGATGGCTTCTGACAGCATTGGAGTAAGTAAAACTTGTTAGAACTTCGCACATTCATATCACACAGTTTTGTATAAAACTAACAGAAGAATTTTGATACAGACGAGCCGAATCTTCTTGTGGTTGTGCGATGAAAACATGAGCAGCTAACCACGTCAGGAAATGCAGACTTTTTTTCATCCATATGCTGTCAACAGTAAACAACCACTTAAAACATTTTGACATGTAATGTTTTGTAACTGCTTGTTACAAAATGTAATTTTGCATTACTTTCTGGAGTTTTGCTACAGGGGCCTCAAAATGACAACATCTGACATGTTGAAACTAAATCTCCTTTTGGTACCTTAGCTTTTAGTGTGAAATAGTCTTTCGCTAGTTCGTAATCCCCCTGGACACTAAGAAGTGTGCCTTCATATAATTAATTTTTTTTTTTCCGAATGAATGGAGTATTGTTTCACATATAATAAATCATGTGAATAAAAACATTTGTCTTAAATTGTTCTATGCCCCAAATATTTTTGCCAAGATGCAGAAACCTCCAGCAAAACGTAAACTCTCCTAAACGTGAAACGTTCTTTCAGTATGTCTGCTTGACATTGATCAACCACCAAACGTACGTATGTAGCATACAGTGATCACTGTGACTTCTTGTGCCAAATGCGTTGCGTAAGTACCGTTTGTGTTGTATTTTGTGTAATTTAGACTTGTGTAATAAATAAATAAATAAATAGAAATTGTTTAATTAGTTATTTTATTTATTTAATTTGTGGTTATCTTACTGTGCAAGAGGATACACAGTTTCAATTACATTGATGGTAATGTACATACCTGGGTAAATGGCTATCTCATGATACTATCGCTATCACTGGTGCATTGTTTTGCATGCGTAATGGAGCCGTACTATTATTACAGACACAATAATCTCTGATGAGAAAATTATCTACTTTATGAAACACATCAGAATGTTCATGTGCCTTCAAGAGCAAACATCAGGATTGTGTGGCGCAACCATCATTTCTCAGTTTTTTTGGTTGTTTTTTTTTTTTTTGAGACAGAGACTTTGATGCTATCAATGTCATCATTAAAATGATTCCCACAGATGACTAGTCAAAACATGAAGGCTGGTCAAAGTAATAAGGGCTTTTATGGGTACGTGGTTGCATTCACGTGTCATGTGTGTGTTTTGGGGTGTGTGTCCACGCGTGTGTTAATGTGTGTGTAAGCGAGTGAGTGTACAAGCCGGGGCACTGAACAAACCCTAACCCCTTTGATTAGTGAAAGGCTCAAAGGATGGAGAGGCAATCCGAGAACTTCACAGGCGCAGAGGGGAAATTGCCTTGAACCTTGAGGTGTATGAAAGTGCAATTTGTGTCCCATCTGTTCTGCTTCCCTTCCATTAGGAGGAGGAGGAAGGGTGTTCTAAAGCCACCGAGGAGAAAATGCCCCTGTGAGGGTCTCCGGGTACGCACAAGCTCTCGTTGATTTAATTTGCCAGACGAGACATTCCCCTTCCTCTTTCCATCAAATTCTTTTAGATGCGAGAACAAAGAGTTTTCATTCTCTCTTTTAAGACGAAGTAGTTTCTTGTGAGGCCTTCCTGATCATGGCGACCTTCTCTTCAACAAAAACAGTGTTCTGATGCTCTCTTCTAACTTAGCTGAATTCTGTCACTGTCATAACAGCATGCAGTGTCGATCAGCTTCCCTAATTTTACTTGTTTTTTTTTTTAGGGGGGGGGTTGCATGACAGATGCCAAGAACAAGTTTGTTCCCCGGGCAACGGATTGTCGCCATTTTCAGTTGGAGCCGAGGTGTTACTTGAGGACATGGAAAGTGTGACATCAGAGATTAGATGGGCCCAAAGCATGCATGAGGTAAGGCAGCGCAGTGCATTACTTGAACCAGAAAGCGACGCTATCATCGATTCATATTTTGAGTATATCTGTGCAGGGGAAACGCTTTGATGTGGTGATGGTGCATTAAGTCAACTGTTGGCACTTTAGTTTGCAAGGATCAGCGTATAAGAATAGCTTTTAGACTGCGTGGCAAAAAACAATATATTTTGTGAGTCATCTTTGAAACATGTGCAGCGTGAGCATGGAAATTTGTTGCAAATATGAAATACCGGTAATAAAATGCAAAACAGGAAAAAAATATATAGTTCACTTTTCTCCTGATTGGCTTTCATATTTGAAGGCTTGCGAAATAATTTATTTTGCAAAGCATGGTAGGTTAAGAACATCCGAAATTGAAAACCCCTTTTCTACATTTTTGCCACCCATTCAGTCCACAGTAGCCAGCTGCAACTTTGGCCCTGTCGTCTTAAAACATGAGGAAAAACGTGTTGCTTGAATGTTTTTTTTTTTTTAATGGAATTTAGAATCGAAACAAAAACATGGCTTTTGTTCTTAATTTATGAGCAAAAATATTGGCCGGTTTAGGAACCAGGCTTTGGGAGGAAATTAGTTGTCATTGCAGCTATGTTCCTTAATACACTCTAATTAACCCATCCACCCCGACCCCCCATTCTTTAAGTGACCATGAAACAGCGACCCACCTGTGACTTCAAAATGCTCCCAACCAAATGCTTTTCACCAGCACAACACACACACACACACACACACACACACACACACACACACACACACACACACACACACACACACACACACACACAGCTCATGCAGCAAATTCTAAACCGAAAACACTCTCATGCCTACCAGGTACTAACAAACACAACTTTACTATTTTTTTATTTTTTATTTTTTTAATTCTTAGGCATACAAGACACGGGCTCTTTTTTCACCCCTTCGATCTGCCATCATGCTTTACATTTTGATGAAGCGTGCGGCCATTTGAGTCTCTGTGGTTTTGTTTGCCAAATAAGTATTTATCCCATTCATACATTTACAGTTCACGTTTGCCCAAAATATGAACGGGTTCATGAACTTTCATTCATTGAACTTGTTCAGGTACAACAGTGGCGTAGTTTAATGTGCCGGTACCAAAATTGTGTTGTATTTATTTTACTGCCAGATTAACAAAAAGCTCAAGTGTGTTGTTGTTGCTGTGGGTCCTCAGTTTGCAAAATGCGTAATCAGAGGCCTGTTTTGTATGCAGGTCGGAACGCACTGAAGTCTCTATCACAAACCCATGCTATGGAAAGTGAAAATTACAGTAAATGTTTGTATGAAAAACACATCTGGAAATATATGAATTAAAAAAAAAAATTTCCTTATTCCTGTGGTAAACTTACTAGTACTTAGCTTATTTTAGCTTGCTACTACCTTACTTAGTTTATTAGCTTACTTATAGTAGGCTCACAAAATCGTTCATTGTGTGCTGTTCATAATGATGAAACGTAGGTTGAATTTTATTTTATTTTTTTTTCAAATTGATAGTCAGTATCTCAGAAGAGATTGTTCGACAGCCACAATTGAATGTTGTCCATCCATCCATTTTCTGATCCACTTTATCCTCACAAGGGTCGCGGGGGTGCTGGAGCGTATCCCAGCTGTCTTCGGGCAGTAGGCGGGGGACACCCTGAACCGGCTGCCAGCCAATCGCAGGGCACACACACAGAGACAAACAACCATTTGCGGTGAGACTCACACCTCGGGACAATTTAGAGTGTTCAATCAGCCTGCCGTGCATGTTTTTGGAATGTGGGAGGAAACCGGAGTACCTGGAGACAACCCACGCAGGCCCGGTGAGACCATGCAAACTCCACACAGGGAGGCCAGAGCCGAAATCGAACCCTGCACCTTCGCACTGTGACGTCGACGCACTAACCACTGGGCCACCGGGCCGCTTAAATGTTGTCATCTACTGAAATCATGACAAAATGATGAAGTGCTGTCAAACCGAGAGTCGCTCCCTGATCTCAAAAATAGAGTGGTGTAAAATGCTCTTCACACATAACATGCGGATTTCATTGTAGAACTAGTCAGTACCATGGATGTGAAAACCAAATGCAGTTTCATTACAGGGCAAAGTTAACTCTAGTCAGGGTGAAGGGTGATTGTATTTGGTGATGAGAGCCCCAGTTTATACAAAGGACAGTGCGTATGTGCCCCGTTGCCAACTGTGAAACAAATGGCATCCAAATTGAATATTTCAGTCTGGGGGTGTAAAATGTGGGATTTGCACACAAAGACTGAGTGACAGATTGAGAGAGAGGAGAGGCAGCCAACCTTTAACAGAGCTGCAGAAAAAAGACAGTAAATGGCAAGTTAGATTAATAGATTGGCAAGGTCTCACAGAAGATAGGGTAGTAATTCATCGCGTGAAAAGAAAGAAAGGCAGCATTTTTTTTTTTTTAGGTCAGAGTTGAGTGTGGAGGGATGATGAAGATGGAAATATGAATACTGAATAATTCAGCCTACATCATTCCTTGAATCAAAAAAGGGATTAAGAGTGGTGCATGGAGTCAAAGGTTAGAAGCAATTGTAGAGAAAGACAGAAATGAGTCAGGTGGAAACTGTGAGACAGAACAGTTGGAAGAAGTGAAGGGAGTGTGCACACTGCGATATTGGGGTCAAGGTGTTATTATAATGCAGCTTCACCTTCACCTTTGGATGCAAATTTTAACTAAAAGTAGACAGACGAAAGAACATTTGGATTCATATAACAGCACTCGGTAGAGTCTACGTCTCCATTAAGGTTTAAGTGAGCAAAACTGGGCAAAAACCAAACAAAAGAAATCATGGCGTATGCGTCAATGCATGTTTTTCTGTCCAGCCACATTGTGGAGTACATAAGTTCATCCAAATAGCAGTGGGAGCTCTGATAAGAATGAGGCAAGATTATGAATGGCCTGGCTGCTTGTCATCAGAAAACAACACACCTGCAAGTCAACATAAACTTTAAATTGTGAACTTTTTAACTTCAGGTCAAAGCAGAATATAGAAGTGAAAGATCATGAAGCACTGTATTTTTATTTATTTTTTTATCTATTCATATGTTTGTTGGCAGCAGGGCTTAATCGTCCATGTGGTGTGTGTGTGTGTGTGTGTGTGTGTGTGTGTGTGTGTGTGTGTGTGTGTGTGTACGAAGGGGGGAGAATTTGCGCTCGGGGACGCATTGCGACATCATTGCACGTCGTGAACGCTCCAACATGCGCTTGAAATGTCTAAAATTCTTGCAGATCCACCCGTCCCTCGTTTGCATGCTGGATTGGAACCGATTTGTCTATTTTAGTCTTCTATATCTGCATTTAAAGCTTGAAATCACTCATACATAATCACGTGTTTATGGTCTTCAAATCGACCAATTTACTGAGGGATTTCAACTCGCCATCGCTGGACTACAATTGTCTGCCACAGCATTATATCCAATAACACACAGACAACTGAGATTTTTTTTTGTTTTCCTGCAGCTCTGTCAAAATACAGTCTTTCCATGAAACGAGTCCGTGGTGCAAAAAAAGTTGTTGAGTAGGCAGAGTACACCCTGAAGTGGTTGCCAGCCATTCGCAGGGTGCACAGACAACCAACCATTCCCACTCACAATCACACCTAGGGACAATTTCGAGTGTCCCATTAACCTGCCATGCATGTTTTTGGAATGTGGGAGGAAACCGGAGTAAAACCACGCAGGCCAGAACCCAGCATGGAACCCGGGACCTCTGCACTGTGAGGTGGATATGCTACGCAGCCAACCACAGTGTCACCCTTGCATAAGGATATATACAAATAAAATCCTGATTAAGTTTAGATCACATTTGAAACAGAATATTATATGAATATCATGACAATCATTCACTAGAACAGCACATTGTAGGGTGTAAAAAAAAAAAAAATTAATAATGGGCCGTCATGTTTTTTTTAATCCAACCACATTGTGGAGAGCATCAGTGTCTGCAAACAGCACAGCGGTTTGTGCTCTAGTAAGAACAAGGTACTGTATTAGATCAAGGCATTACACGAACTGGTTGTCTGTCATGAAATAAAGATGGTCAGCAAAGTTTTGAAAGTGCAAAAGCAACGGATTCATAGCCATTTGGCCAGTTCGCTAATCTGACATGGCAGATGGTTTGTTTCTCAAATCCATCTGGAAATGAATCAACGAAAGCTATTTGGAATGGTCGGCAAAAACATTTTGGAAGCTGACTGGATGATTAGCATTAGCGTTAGTAGAGGAGTAAAAGCTTCCTTGCCAATAAGATTTGGAAAACTTGCTTGAAACCGGCCCTCTACATGTACTGTACATCCAAATCACATATTATTGTCTTTTTCATCACCGGTTATGTAATTGCTAAAGTCTTTCGACTAATGGTATATTTACCGTGCAGTCATCTCTGCTCAATGTTCACTTGCTTCAAAGGCAATTTGTAGAGACTTGAGTTTGCAGACCGAGAACTCAATGAGACAGTGTGTTCATGGTGATTGCCTCCAGGAGACGACGATGCTTGACTTGTGGAGAGGTTGCTGTCTGTGATTAGCTGTCTGTCTCCAATTAAACGAGAGCAAATAATGAAACCAGAGACAAAGTATCCTATTGTCCTTAAGCATCTTGACAGATATCGTCAAACCTGTTCCTTTCTTTGCTTTGACAGCTTTTGTTCCGCCTTTCATCCCTGTCCATCGTGCGTTTTAGAGAAAGACAGCAGAAGAGCGTGCGTGTGTGTTTTGGGGGTGAAAGGAGGGAGTTCTCAAATCCCAGTCGGCTCTAGGGTGCTGTCAGAACTGATAGAGCTCTATCACGTGCAAAATTGGGCCGAGCTGAGCACTAGAGGATGACCCTCTGTCCACTGGAGTCTGAGAAATGCAGGGGCGGCTCTAGAAAGGGGAAACATGGGTAGCAAAGGGGTTGCAGAAGTCTCAGTTCGGGAAGGGGAATGGGGTTGGGGACCCCCGCCAACCCCCAATACACA